CACAGCACCCCCCATTTGAAACATGTTCCCACGGCTATGAAGAGGCCCCTTTAGAAAATAGACTTCAACCGGCTTCCTTTGAGCACTTTTCATGTGTTGCACATTTCAGAAAGCAAACTGAAGTGAGTTGTTCTGTAATTCCACAGAGAAAAAAATAGTTATAGTTGTGTCACCTCCCACTGTGGTATGATTCATACAGTGCATTATCAGCCAGAACAACATGTTTCTGTCCTCTTTTCACAGAACAGCCACAAACATAAATATATAAAATAATAAATAAAATAAGTGGTCTCTTTTTGAGGGAACTATTTTTACACCCAAGACTAAGAGTGAGAAATAAAGACAAATGTGTTAGTTCGCTTAGAGTACTCCACAATACTTACAGCCAGTTGTATATTTAAAATAATGCTTCAGGTTTCAATTCGGTTTCAATCCTAAATCAAGCCTACGTTTCATTTTCTCAAACTGGGTTAACCCTAACAACAATTGCATTGATATCGGCACACTATTTCAACGAAGTATAAAACACCTGACCCCAAGTTTAAGATGTGCATATTGTAAACTATTCACTCCACCTGATTTAACACTGAGCCTGTTATCTGCCATTTTCTAATATCTGAGAGATGCTTCTAATCGTCTGCACCAATATCATGTTAGAGACAAATATACAGGGGAACATAAGAGCTTTGTGTAACACCTGGATGTTTTCAGTTTCACTCTCGAGATACAGTGCATTACCGTTGTCCACATAACAGCAATACATACATTTATAACAATATAACAAGATATAATAAGATAGTCTTTGTTGCAGTAGATCATGTAGTTATTAAAGGTGACCTATCATGCAAAATGCACCTTTGTACGTCTTTTCTACATGAATATGTGTCCCCGGTGTTCCAGGGAACTCACCAAGTGTCAGAAAACACAACCTTCTCTATTTTCCTCCATACCCAAATCTCTTAAAAAGGGGCTGCAACGGATCTGATACAGACTGATCCAGATTTGAACACTTCTATGACGTCACAGAAGTGGCGCTACGGCTATTGGGCCAACTCCACCAATCAGGAGGAGACAACCACGGACATTGCCGTTCGAAAGCGCTGGAGAGGCTGTAGTACATATTTCAGGCCACTAGATGGTGCTGTTCTCACTGAATCCGAGCATGAAAGACAGTGTTAAATTGAGCGAAATGAGGAATGGCTAAAATGCATGATCTGTTTGGTATTTTGAAAAATAAAAAGTATAAATATGTCTTATATAGGTATGGTCCTACACTATATTATTCAAATATAGCATGATAGGTTCACTTTAAAGTGAACACACATAAAGTGTTCCTGCATGTTTGGTAAACTTCATACCGTACTCAGGCGTTTCAGATATTGAAATGTGTTCTTCAGCTTGCCATCTGGTTTCAATCCAACATTTTTAACATCATGCCTGAATAAAGTTTGTCAAAAGGACTTCATTTTTGGTAAAAATAAATCCCTTTTTGATTAAAACACTACCACTTTTCTTTCACTATTTCACAATATATTGTAAACTATTTACTCCCCATTATCTAACACTGAGACTGTAATCTGTAATCACCTAGCAGTCGATTCAATATCCGAGAAATGCTTCAAATACTTTGCACTAAAATCACGTTACAAAGACAAATACACGGGGCAACATCTGCGCTGACCTTCTTTGTGTAACACCTGGACGTTTGTTTTTAAAGTGACGAATAAACATGGATTTGTTTGTTTCACACTCACAAATAATACATCTTTGCAATTGAACATAAGCAGGCTTAATACAAACGTGAGACAATAACCAAGATCCAACCCATATTTTAAGATGTGGATATTGTTAAATATTCCTTTGATCTAACACTGAACCTGTAATTGTTACATTTCTTTAAAACACGTTTAATATCATCCTGTTACAGAGAGCTGATCTCAAGCACTGAGTTATTGTCTGGCTTTTCTTCAGGTTGTGACTTCCTGTTCCTGATTCTACTGACCATAGAGGACGCTAGCTCCGCCGGGTCGAAGCCCAAATCTTTCTCTGCTTCCTGTTTGACACTCGAGTTCTCCGCATGAGTCTGTGCGTCTACGCTGTGGTTTCCATTTTGTGCCTTTTGGCTTATTTCACTCATCTGAACAGCCCCTCCCGTTTCATTGAGTTCTTCTTCTTGTTCTTTGACGACCCCTTCACTTTTTTGAACTTGCAGCACAATGCCGCCCCACTCCTCTGTCGGGCGATGCAGCTCCATGCCGTTGCTCTTCACCCGGCGGGACGCTCCGCACAGGGCCTTCCTGAAGCCCCTCTTGAAGTTGTCGGACAGAAAGCCGTACAGGATGGGGTTGGCGCAGCTGTTTGCGTACGACAGCACAACGACAAACACGTAAAGCCCCCTGAGGTCTCCAGGCAGGACCACCAGCAGGTTGATGATGTTCAGAGCGTAGAAGGGTAGCCAGCAGAGGACAAAGACGGCCACCACCACCACCACCATGCGGGTGACTTTACGCTCTGACTTCCTGCGGCGAGAGGACGTGGCCTGGGCCCGCTTTCCAACGCTGCGCACCTGTGGAAGAAAAATAAGGTTTACCTCTTTAAAGGTCAAAGTCATGTCTCTTCTACATCAACATGTGTCCCCTCTTCTTCATGTCTCTTCTACATCAACATGTGTCCCCTCTTCTCCATGTCTCTTCTACATCAACATGTGTCCCCTCTTCTTCATGTCTCTTCTACATCAACATGTGTCCCCTCTTCTTCATGTCTCTTCTACATCAACACGTGTCCCCTCTTCTTCATGTCTCTTCTACATCAACATGTGTCCCCTCTTCTTCATGTCTCTTCTACATCAACATGTGTCCCCTCTTCTTCATGTCTCTTCTACATCAACATGTGTCCCCTCTTCTTCATGTCTCTTCTACATCAACATGTGTCCCCTCTTCTTCATGTCTCTTCTACATCAACATGTGTCCCCTCTTCTTCATGTCTCTTCTACATCAACATGTGTCCCCTCTCCTTCT